ACATTTCTGTCAACTGCTTTGTCTCAGCATGGCTGGTAATGGTCAAAGTGTTCGCTGCCAGAGATGCCTGAACTTTAGGATTATTAAAGTGGATCACCGTTCCTTGATTTGTAAACATATTCACCTCTTCAATACCAGAGATATTGTTTACCCCTAATTTCTTTAAGGAGAACTGAAGTTTTTTGTCATCTTCTGTAGCTGTTCTATGAACCACCACCTTCTTTCTGCATGCAGTTCCTTTTCCACCAACGCGCACTTGTGCCTGCAGTTTGGCAAGTTTCTCCTGATTCATGATCGTTTGCATCTTGTCAGAGAGGAAATGGGGCTGTGCGGGGGACTAGGGCTGGCACTCAGGGGGTCTTTTGGCAGACCAGCTGAGATACGCTGCACACGAGGGAATGCAAGCTCTTTATTAGAATTCTTAACAGTAGTAATAAGACAAGAGAAGGAAATAAGAGTTATCCAAATTGACTAAGAGGAGGTAAAATTATCTCTCAATCCAGAGGATATAATAGTATACTTAGAAAACCCTAAAGATTCAGCAAGAAAACTACTGAACATAGATAACCAATTCAGCAAAGTGACAGGATACAAGATCAACATACAAAAATCAATTGGATTTCTCTATAGTGACAAAGAGAATATAAAACAGGAGCTAAGAAAAACCGATATTTATCACAATAGCTAAATCACAAGACTAAATACTTGGGAGTAAATCTAACTAGAAACACAAAAGACTTATTCAGAGAAAATTACAAAACATTGCTACAAGAAACAAAAAGAGATCTAGAGAAATGGAAGAAAATCCCTTGCTTATGGATGTGCTATTGTTGTGCTTTCAAGTTGAGCACAACTCATAGCAACCCTCTATGAACAAAAGGCCTGAAGTCTTTCTGTAACTATCGACATTTATCAAAGTTCATAGAGAAGATCTTTCTGACAGGATTTTATGATTGGGCATTATGTGTTTGACAACAATCTGTAATGAGAGATTTATTGCAATGTGGACTGGGGAGGAAGGAAAATGTGCAACAATGAATGAATTAATGAACACTATAAACTTTCATTTAAATCACAATAAATGTTTTTTTAAAAAAGAAAAAGAAAATTCAAACATTGAATCCTAGTGACCATCCTAGCAGCTTACCAGGATTCCCTTGACAATGTTAATTTGCACATTACTTGGTTGGTGACTTGTACTGCCCATGACAGGAATCAGTACTAGAGACAGCAGAGCGCGTCACACAGGGGTTAGAGAAGGCTCTCGGTCTCTGTACTATAGTTTGCTCAGTTGGCTAAACGCATCTTAATATACAAATTTCAGAATTTGTGTCTTATACTTATCTAACATTATATATTTGTTTACTCACATAAACATTTTTTGCCCCAGCTCTCCACCACCTATTCTACTTACAACTTGTTTAAAAAATGCATTCCATGCCAGGCCTGAAACATTCCAAAGGTGACTTCGGTAATTAAGTTACATCCGAGATTTCTAAAAAATCAAAATAGAAAAGATAAGATATTCTTTTAGAGCACCATGTTTTGACAATGATCATAATTTGCTATGATACAAAATAATTTCAGTACTCGTTACCTGCACAATAAGGAAATCTCATGAAAGATACTTGCTTCTCATTTAGACTCTTACTTATACATGTGGTGTATGCAGTGTATGCAGTATAAAACAGTAAAGAAATGCTTGAACTGAGTAATCTTCATTCTAGAAGAAGGTTTCTCAAGCACAGCACTGTTGTCATTTGGGGCTGCGTAAATTTTGGTTCCCCTGATCATAAAGACACCGCAAGGCTGGGCAACACTCTGTTCTGTTGTACATGTACATGAGGTCACATGAATCACAGCCAACTCAACAGGAACTAATAATAACAACACATTTGTTGTTCACATTTGTTGTTTGTTGTGAGGACTATTTTGTGCATTACAGGATGCTCTGGAAAATCCTTGGCATCTTCCACTAAGAAGCCAATAGCACACTCACAATTATAATAATAAACAGTGTCCCCAGATGTTGCAGAATGTCCGTTTGGTTCAAAACTATCCTGGTTGAGAACCACTGCTCTACCACTCTTAACTGCCCAACACTTCTCACTCCAATCATTCCCAGAGATACAAAGGCTTTCTACATATCTTTAGAATCTTCCCATTGATATGAGCTTAACATTTCAAAATAACAAAAAGATTTGCAATTTGAGTTTTAATAAAATTTATAAATATAATTAATTTGTAATTGCTTGTAACTTACACATACTGCAAAAAAGGCAATGCTTCAAATGTACCCCTTTCGATATACTGTATTTTATTGCAGGACAAATCTCTGTGAAAAGTAAAGGAAGATATTGCCCCAGTTAGCTATTAGATATCAAATTGGTAGGAATAAATGGTAGTGTTCATAATAATATTGAATAAGTGTTTGGCTAACTTCTAAAACGTAATTATTGTCTAAACTTTCCAAGGTCCCTATCCAGCCCTCACTTCTCTTAAGAGTTTCACCTTCATACAATAAACCACTATGAATCTTGATAGATTTTAGAGGCACTTTCTTTGGAATAGGAAAATTTATTAGAAAACCTTTTTTTTAATTAAATTTTACTCATCTTAATGAACATTTACAGAGATTTGGGGTTTTCATTCATTCATTGTTACACTATTTTCTCTACCCTCCTCCCCAGTTCATTCTTCTTTTTTTCCCCCCTTGAAAGTCTGTTTTAATTGTCCAATTGCCACAGTGCTTGTTAAAGCCAGTTCTGATTAATCTCCTTTGTCAGTGTGTCCTTTGCCATTCCCTATCACTCCTCCTTGAGAGAGACTTCATCCTGATTCATAGGGAAAAGGGGATGGCGTATTCTCTTAGCTACTTCCTGTTGGAAAGGGACGCTGTGGGTTTCAGGGTGAAGATCTTCTCTCACTTCTCTAAAGGGCCCCTTTGACAATAGGAAACACATAGACTATTATGGAGATTGATTTTGGAATTTAGATGCACTGTTATCAATTGTGCTTAGCCGTGCATGTTAGAAAACCTTTTGTAGTTGCATCAAAACCTAGATACAGTGAGTTTGAAGTTGTTTTTACTCAGTAGAACTATAATTTATAACACTGAAAGGAATAGTCTCACATTTGTACACCTTTCTTATTGAGTTCTTTTCTTGGCCAACTCAATACAAGAAAAAGCAAAAGATATTCTGTGACATAATTTGAAAGGAAGTCATTCTTCTAATAAATATAAAACTATGAACTAATTGAAGATAATACATGTATCATATTAATAGAAATTCAAGTCTGTCGAAGTTCTAGGAATACATCTGGAGCAGTTTTCAGTGATTGCACAGAAGAAAAATAAAACTGGATTTTTCTTTAAAAACACCAATTCCTTGACTACAGTAAACCCTGTGTTCCCAAGTACCCCACAACAGTCGTTTCCTTTTCACCTGGTTGAGTTTGTCTTCTGCATGGTGATTTCAGTGTTGTTTTCCCCTTTCTAATCTTTACTGCACAATCACCTTGGGCAGATTCACTCTTCAACAGTGATTTTCAAATCAGTATTGCCTGAGAATTTACTGAAGATGCAAATTTTTAGGCTTACTCTTGACCAAGGGAGCACTGTGCTCCAATCCCAAAGGCATGCAGTTCAAAAACACCAGCTGCTCCGCAGAAGGATTGGCAATCTCCTCCTGTGACAGTCACTGCCTCTGAAAACCCACCTAAGAGTCAGCTCTGGATCAGTTGTGACTCAACGGTACACAGTAACAGCAGCTCTAGATCTACTGAACTAGGACATATGGGGAGGAAGCCCAGAACTGTGCTTTAGCAAGCCCTGATTCTGATGCAGAAGAAAGTTTGAAAGCTACTTGTCTTAGAGCATTGCTATGATAACATGGTTTCACCAAGATAGCACCTTAGTTTCGCATTCAAAGTCCATGAGATCTGGCTTCAATCTACTTCTCCTACTGTACCCAAAGGTACTCATGGCATTTTTCAAACCCACCTTCCACTGCCTGTGTTTGCCTTTACCCTCCTTTTGCAAGCTTGGATTTTTCTTCCCAAGTTGGCTGAGTGAATATATCAAATGGCTCTTTAAAATTCTGTCCAAATGGCATTATTAACTTCTGTCCTCATCCAAATGGAAGTTTTTGCTCTGTCCTCTAGAACCACTTTATATCTCTGTGTTCATATTTATTTCTTCTTTCCAATATAGTTCTTTTTATATCCATTTCCTCTGAGCATAAATTCCTTGAAAGCATAGATTATTTCTTATGCATTTGCATTGCCTATGATAATTAACAGTACAGTAAGTTTGCAGAAGATCAAAGACTATAACCTTCTAAGTGGATTGCATCTCAACATCAAGAAGATAAAAATCCTAATCACTAAACCATAAGGCAACATGATAGATGGAGAAAGACTGAAATTGTCAATGATTTCATGTTACTTGGATCCACAATACCCTTAGTACCAGCAACCAGCAGTCAAGAGATCAGGAGACCTGGTTAAACATTGTGCAAGTCTGCTATAAAAACCTCTCCAAATTACTGAGGAGCAATGATGTTAGTTTGAAGACTAAGGTGTGCCAGATTCAAACCATGGACTTTTCCATCCCCGTGCTATACATCTGAGAGCTAGAGAGTGAATAAGAATGAAAGAAAAATTGATGACTTTGAGCTATAGTGTTAACAGAGTACTGAATATTCCACAGATGTTAAAATAACAAACAGATATGTCTTGGAGAAAGTGTAGCCAGAATGCTTCTTGGAGGCAAAGATAACAAAGCTTCATCTCACATACTTTGGGTATGTTTCTAGGAGAGGCTAGTCCTTGAAGAGGTATGTTGTGTTTGAAAAAGTGGAGAAGACACTCAGTGAAAGAGATTAAGATGGTGCCTGCAGCAATGCGCTCAAGTGTGTCAGAGGTGATGAGGATGGCAGGAAATAGGACAGGCAGGGTTCACATCTCTTGTTCACAGTGTCAACAGCACCTAACAACAGCCACAATGTGATGATTAAAGTTGCTCTGGTGGACTAGTAAGCAAAGAGTTGCACTGCAAATGCAAAGCTGATGTCTTTCTGGTGGCAGCTCCAGAGAAGAAAGACAGCAGTCTCTTGCACCATGATTTGTAGCCTCTGAAAACCCAATAGAAGGTCAGCTATGAGTTGGTTCCAACTCCAGGCCAATGAGTTGAGTTTGATGGTGATTAAAACTGACAGATGAACATAAAGCAAATTATTTACTAAAGGAATGAATAGCTAAGGAGTGAGAAAAGATTTTTTTTTTAAAAAAATGTCTTTTTACTACTTCATGATTTTTCTGTGCTTCTGCAGCACTTCCTGGATTAATACTTTCTGTATTATAGTCTGTGCTATGTATTTGTTACCCTGTCATATCATGGGTTCATGGAAGAGTAGGCACCTTGTCATATACTTTGTTTTGCAACTCTCAGCACAGTGGTTGTTGTACTGTTTTAAAATTTATTTTTTAAATTTTTATTTTATTACTTTTGGTGTGTGTACCATCATATCAGATCTGACTGGTACAGGAAGAGATTGCCCCTCCTTTTCCAGCAGAGCATCTGGTGGATTCAAACTGCATATGTCTGGGATTGCAGTGCAGCTTCTTGCCATTAGGCCAACAGAGCTCCCCTGGTGTACTGTTTTAAAATTTTTAATGGATTGGTTTTCTTTTAAGTGAATGGGAAGATATATTAATAACAAATTACTGGTTTACAGAGTATTACAAGTTTATGTAATGAAAAGCCTGTTCTGTTTTTGTTGCTGGCTGGCGAGAGAGAGCCAACTCATAGCTGACCCTCTAGTGGCTTTTTAGAAGCATTCAATCACATGAGCAGCTGGTAGATTTGAACTAGGTGCTTTTTTGATTGCAGCACAGCTTCTTACCATGAGGCCTCCAAAGCCATCTCATGGAGTAATTATGGCAGTTGTTTTTCTCCTAATCATTATTTGTACAGTTTGGGTACCTACATGCCAGAGATGCAAGAGCAGATTAATACAAAATTGGTTATTTCTCTAAGACATAAAAGGTTTGATAATTTCAAGAACTATTTTTATCTATCAGTTGCAAGCATCCACTAACCATTGGAATGTGGAGTCTATGAAGCATGACTGTGGGGAAAATCAGACAATGTAAAAAAATGAAATGGAATGCATAAAGATTGACATTAGCAAGCTGAGATGCATTAGCATTGGCCACTTTGAATCAGACAACCCTATGATTTCCTATTCTAGGAATGAAGAACTGAGGAAGGATGGGGTTGCAGTCATAGTTAAAAAGACCATTTCAAAATCTACCCAAAAGTACAATGCTGTGAATGACAGGATACTATGCATGAGCCTACAAGGAAGACCTTTTAATACTACTTATTATTCAAATATATACACCAAAAGCACAAGCCAGAGAGGAGGAAATTGAGAATTTCTACCAAGTTTTGTTGTCTGAAATTGACCACACAAGCAACCAAGATGCATTAATAATAATCGGTGACTGGGTTGCAAAAACTGGAAACAGGGAAGAAGGAATGGCAGTTGGAAACTACAGACTTGCTGACAGAAATGAGGCTGAAGTCTGAATGATTGAATTTTGTACATTCAATGATTTATTCATTGCAGTTAAAAAGCCATAAATGGTGACTATACATATGGACCTTACAGATGGACTGCATAGAAATCAAATTTACTATAACTGTGGAAAGAATCTTTGGTGATGTTTTATATCAGCAATTCAAACCAGGGCAGGTGTTGATTTTGGAACAGACCATCTGTTACTCCGTTACTCCAGTACAAATTTAAACTGATGCTGAAGGAGATTAAAACAAATCCACAAGAACAAAATTACTACCTTGTGTCTATCCTACCTGAATTTAAAATGAGGCACTGAACACTAATGATTGAAGGCTACATGAGCTGTGGGGATGACATCAAGAATATCATCCATGAAGAGATTAAAAGGTCATTACATAGACAGAGGAGAAAGAAATGCAAACACAATGTCAGGAGAGACTCTAAAACTTGCACTAGAGCATCAATAAATCAAAGCAAACAGAAGAGATGCATAAGTGAAAGAGATGAACATAAGATTTCAAAGGGCAGCTTGAAAATACAAAACATAAACATAATATTAGAACAGAATTTGCAGAGATCTGGAGTTAGAGAATTAAAAGAGAAGAACTGGCTTGGTATTTATCAAGCTAAGAGAACTGAAAAACAAATCCAAACCTCATTACAATACTGAGAGATTCTATGGGCAAAATTCTTGAATGATCCAGGAAGCACTAAAAGAGCAAATCCACAGTCAGTGTGCCAAAGTGAAGTGGTTGACACTGAAAGGTTTCAGGAAATAGCAGATGGCCAAGCTCCAGTAGTTATGAAGGAAGACGTGCAAGCTACACTGAAGGCATTGGCAAAAAACAAGGCCCCAGGAATCAATGGAACATCAGTTGACATCTTTCAACTAACAAATGAAGCACTGGATATGCTCACTCCTCTATGGCAAGACATTTGGAAGATAGCTACCTGGTCAACTGACTGCAAGAGATTTGCAAAAAACATAGAATTCCAGAAGAATGTGTTGTGTTTAACTGACTATGAAAATACATTTGGAGTGTGAGTCATAACAAACTATGGTTAACATTGAGAAAAATGGGAATCCCAGACATTTAATCATGCTCAAATGAAACTTATGCCTAGACCAAGAAGCTGTTGTCTGAACAAAGCAAGGGAACTCTGCATGGCTTAAAATCAAGAAAGGCGTGCATCAGGAGGGTATCCTTTGTCCAACCTTTCAGCTGTATGACAAACAAATAATTTGAGAAGCTGGGCTCTATGAAGAAAAATGTGGCATCAGATGTGTCAACAACCTGCATTATGCAGATGACTTAATTTTGTTTGCTGAAAGTGAGGAGGACTTGACGCTCTTCTTACAAAAGATGAGAGTAGGTGTATCAGAGACAATAAGATTGGCACAGGATAGAGCAGTGTTTAGGGCTGTTGTACATAGGGTCGCTATGAGTCACAGGCAACTTGATGGCACATAACAACATCTCAACATAAAGAAGACAAAAATCCTCACCACTGGGCTAAAAAGGAACATCAGGAAGATGTAGATTGAAACTGTCAACCTCATCTTACTTGAATCCTAAGTCAACACCATTAGCACCAGCTAATGTAATCAAAAGATCTGTGTTGTTGTTTTCTGCCCAGTCAGAACTGACCCATAGCTGGCCCTCAGGTGGGTTTTCAGAGGCAGTTAATTGCATAGGAGGAGATTGCCAATCCTTCTCCCACAGAGCAGCTGGTGCCGTCGAACCCTGTGCCTTCAGGATTACAGTGCAGCTTCTTGCCACTAGGTTACCAGAGCATTGAAAAAGTCTACTGGCACAGACATCGGCAAACTACTGAGGAGCAATCATGTCAGTTTAAAGACTAAGGTATGCCTGATTCAGGCCATTGTCTTTTTAAACACTTTCTGTGCATCTGAGAGCCGGAAAGTTACAAAAGATGACAGAAGAAGAACTGATGTCTTCTAGTTGTAGTTTTGAAAAAGAGGACTGAATATCCCATGGACTGAAAAAGAACAAAGAGATAGGTTTTGGAAAAGGTGCAGTCAGGGTGCTTCTTAGAGGCAGGATTGGTGATGCTTAATCTCTTTTATTTAGTCATGTTAGTACAAAGGGGGTATTCTTTGAAAACAACAAACTAGGAAAGGTGAAAGGTCAGAAAAGGAAGAGAAGACCCTCAATGAGATAGAGTCACACAATGACTACAGCAATGGGTTCAAGTATGTCAGAGATAATGAGGATGGAACAGGATAGGATGGGGTTCAAATCTGTTGTTCAAAGAGTTATTGAGTCCTACTCAATGGCACATAACAACTACTTCCCTTAAGCCTTCAACACTTAGAAGAGTAACACTTTGCTAAAAAGCATCATGCATAATTTAACGAGGATTAACAATGCACATAGCCCTAGACTTCATGGGTAGAGGATAAAAATCAAGGTTTTTCTTCTGTGTGAAGAAACTGTGAGCAGACAGCTGATAGGAAGACCGATTAAGGCAGATGACAGCAGGAACAAGAAGAGAAACAACACTCGGCATAAATCACTATGACCTAGAAGACTGAGGATAGTAAGTAAGAAACTATGAAAATCCAACTAGCAATAGTTTTGAGAGATGACGCGAAGGTGGGTTAGCCAGCAGGAGAGCTTACAGAGAAACATAACTCTTAATACAAAATAATATATTCCGAGGTTATCTAACAGTTTCCAAGGCAGAAAAAGTCAGATATTGGTTATGAGCAAAATAATTGCTCAGATGAAAGCCTGCAGCAGGATAGCTATAAGTGAAATATAACCTCAAAGAAACTTCACTAGTTCTCTTTCCCATCAAGATGATATTATGTAACAATTTATTATATATGAGGAATGCAACATTGCTCTTTTGCTTTACATACAAAAACTTCTACAAGCAGCAGCAAACCCATGCAATCAGTGGGTATTAATGACATTTCCATAGAGTAAAAATCTATTGAATACTACATTATAAAAAAATTAACTGAAAAACTAACTGAAATTAACTGAAAAAAAACGGATTTTGGTGGGAGATCTGCGAGGACAGTGGAGGGAATGCCAGGCCAGGACTTGTGACTCAGCCACCCCAACCCCCTCTACCTTCAAATTGTATAGACTACAACTCCCAGAGACTACAGCTCCCAGAGGTACAGACTACAACTCCCAGAGTTCTGTGGGGAAACACCATCTTTTAAAATAGACTTTGGTGGGAGATCTGCGAGGACAGTGAAGGGAGTGCAGGGCCACCTGCAGGTTTGGGTTTCCTTGGAAAGACAGAGAAGATGATCACCTATACAACTGATTGTTGAAAGTCACTGTGAGTTGTCTACTTGATGACACTTAACAGTGTACAAAAGGACCAATATCCTAAATGCACCACATATTTTGATCTGTTTAAAGCTTCTGCAAAAAGCTATTTAGACCTGGGGGAAGCCTGTTCACAATTCTCAGGTTCCCTTTGCCATTTATAAAGGGGGAGGGCAATGACACCTACTTCAAATTCTAGTATGACCACTTATGGGGGGGGGGAGGTAAAGTGATGGTACTGGAATTAGAGATGCTGTCCCTGACAACACAGTCCTAAGTCAGGAGAGGGGACCAGATTGGGGTGGGGGCAATTACAGGGGGAGTGTACCAGCCAGCCCATGGGGGGTGTTGCCTTGCCCAGGGCGGGTTGTCCTTGGCCCCGGCTCGGGGCGAGCCATCATGGCCCCCTGCCCAGGGCGGGCTAACCTCGGCCCTCGGCTCAGGGCAAGCCATCATGGCCCCCTGCCCGGGGCGGGCTGTCCTTGGGCCTTGGCTCGGGGTGAGCCGTCATGGCACTCAGGGTGAGCTCCCCAGTCCCCATATTATCCCATCTGACCCCTGGGTAGGAAAAAAAAATGCCTAGGGTATCCAGAGAATTTTTTTCTAGGCTACTTTCTGCCACCCTCTCCCCTAGTAAACCTGAAAGCAACACCCCCCCCCCAAAAAAAAAGAGGGCTGACTTGAACACAGGCCATAGATGTGGCCTGGGCTCCCAGCAAGATTATGTCTATAGGAAACACCAGGGAGACACACTCCTTAGAATAACTAGCAAGTCCACCACCAGTAAGGAGATTGACAGAGAGCATGTACCCAAAATAAAGTCTTGAAGGCAAGAACTCGTAGGATAGGAGGATTAATGGAAATTAGAATTACAGGGAGGAAATAGGAAAAATGTGATTGCCTTATGGATATTGTACTAAATGTTATAAAACAAAACATGTGAATGATTGAAGAAAAACCAACATATTCTGTAAACCTATGTGTAAATAACAATAAAAAAATTAAATAAAAAAATTAAAAACAGTCAAGCCTTTATAAAGGCAAAAGATTTGCTATATCATCTCTTAATGTGCATAGATACTGTGGATCTACTGTTGGGAAGATTTTCTTTTGCATTTAACAAAGGCAGAGATTGTGAGGATGGCACAGACTGGGCCAGTTTAATTCTGTTGTAGGTAGGATTATGAACATTTAGCAATGGGTTGGCTATTTCTGATATATTTAAATAGTATAAACATTTCTGGCTTTACTATTTATGCATAGTTTTAAATATTTAGTTGTTATGTGGCAAAAATATTCTTGTACTAAAACCCTTAACACCAGGCTCTTTTCTTTCTTTATGATAATGTTTAAACAGTCCATCTGTAGAATTAAATATTTAAGTGCTAACTTATTTATCAAAACATTTTCATTTAATGGTATTCAAATTAAAACCATTCTAAATTTTCTGTCCTTTAGAACAATAACCAGTTGTTAACTTTAATTCCAACCTCACATATTTCAGGCATGTTGGTAGGAGGGGGCTATTCCTCAGAGAGGGACATGATAGGTGGAAAAGTGGAGGGTCACTGAGTGAGAAGAAGACCCTCAACTAGGTGGATTGACAAAGTGGCTGCAGCAGTGTGCTCTAGTGTGTCAGGAAGAGTGAAGATGGCACAGGATAGGACCAGGTTCAGATCTGCTGCTCATAGAGTTGCTATGAGTTGCACTTGACTCAACAGCACCTAACAACAACTTTCATTCCTATTTTGTTAATAAACCAACTTCTTCAACAGTTTTCTATAGAGTACATAGTAAATATTTTAGGCTTTGCCAGCCACAGACAGCTTCTGCTGCATATTCTTCTTTTACAACACTTCAAACTGCAAAAATTATTCTCAGTGCATAAATGCTATAAAAACACACTATGTACTATAGAAGAAATAAAAACAAAGAGTATATAGACAGTTATAAAGTTTCTATGAAATTCAGGCCCTATTATCACTGCTCTTATCTGGTCTATTTGTATCTTGTCTCTTTATTTACATTTGGAAATGCGTAGGGATAAGCCAAGCCTATCCTTAGAGATAAGACATGACTCCACAGAGTTATGTAATTTTATTTTTTGAAAAATTTGCCTATTACCTAATTCAAGGGCTTCATTCATTTTATATACAACCAAAAGATCAAACACAAATATAATTAACTAACTTACAAATATTGAAGAGAGAGAAGTCCTTCAAATGAATCCTTCCGCAATTCAGTCAGGGAATTGTCCCTGAGAATTCTGGAAAATTAAAAATGTATTTTTGGATCAAAGTGCAAACTAAATAAAACTGTTTGCTCTATCGTACTACTAGGCATGAAAAGAACTTCCGGAATGGTGCCACTTGGATAGTCTGTTTTGTATTTAATTAAGGGATGGTGGCTTCTCTGCTTTCATCCAAAACTTTCTTCTCATGTCCACCCCATCCCACAAAGCCCTATTCACTCTCCCACCAAACACTTTATTCCACACTTACTCTCAGGATCACAGAGGCCGTGTTAGAACACAATTCTGTCTGGTCCAGAACTAACATTTCATTTCCCCTTTTCTTTTCCCACAGTTCACTGTGGAAGTCTCCCGTGGAACTACCTCAGGACTGCAAGTGAATGTATTTGACACTTTCCCTGATTCGGCACATTTTTCTTTTGAGAACTAAAATGTGCAGAAAGCATAAATGTTCAGTTCAATATTCATAAAACAAACACGTTGTAGCACCATTCAAGTCAAGAATGAAAAAAGGCAGCATCCTAGAAGCCTTTCTTTTGACTTTTTTTTACTACTATCCCAAATATCCTGAGTTTCCTTGATGGTTAAACCTGTTCTACGTCAATCATAAACAACATGATTTAATATTACTTCTCTTAACTTCAAAAAAAATCATATTGCATATACCATTTTCTATTTATTTCTTTCACTCAATAATACGTTCATAAAAATCATAATGTGATCGGGTATTATGGTTATGACAAGAGTCCAGAATGAAGGTTGCATAGTGTAGTGGACCTCGGGTGGGGGAGAATTGTATACCAATGAATTTTTCTTTTACTTTTCAAAGAGAAAAGTGAAGTAGGGGGAAAGGGTGGGGGGCAGGGAGAAAAATGCAACAATGAATGAATGAAAATCCAAACTCTTTGTGAATGTTCCTTAAAATTAAATAAAATTTTTAAAAATCATAATGTGGTTGCATGTAGCTGAGTGGTGCATAGTGCTGCAAGGCCAATAAGGGTTAGGGTTAGGGTTAGGGTTAGGGTTAGGTGACTGCCTTCTGTGTTGTGACCAAGCACTTCTACATGTTTTAGATCCCCCAGAGATGACTGGAAAGACATTCAGGCAGATATAGGATCAGTGCAGAAATTGTGGGCCTAGCATTTTGTTGTGGTTAGGTGGCCTTCGAGCAGAGTACGACTCATAGAGTGAGGAGGACCAGACACCATAATTGGAAGCCCAGCTCACATGCAAGTGGTCTTCGGGGTTATTGAGAGTTCAGCCTGCAAACAGGTAACTCTCTGGTTTAATAATTAAAGAGAAACCTTTGTCCTTCATCCTGCAATGGGCTGGGAACTTGGGGGTCTCTCTTCCTATAAATCATATATCTTAAGTCGTTTCGGTCTCCTAACCCCTTTCATGTGAAAAGCATCATTTAGCATAAGGAACTCTTTTATGATTCTATGAAAACTGAGGTATGAGATCATTGTTGATTATGATTCTATGGAAACCCTGAAAAATTGAGATCATGGCTTAGACCCCTATATATTCTAATAAACCCAGACCAGCAAGGCTGCCGTATCTTGTTCCGTTGTGTGAGTGTGTTTTTCTTTGCAGCAGTCCTGTCTTGTCTTGTTTGTCTCTTTATGTTCATTTCTTCCAGACATTGTGTAAAGGTTTGCGGTTTGCAACATAGACTCCCTGTGAAAAACACAACTGAACCCTGTGCTGTCCTGTGCCATCCTCCTAATTCCTAACATACTCCCCATTTTTCCAGTCACTGTATCAGACCATCTCATTGAGGGTTTTCCTCTCTTTTACTGACACTCCACCTTTCCAAGCATGAGGTTTCTCTCCAAAGAACAGTCCCTCCTAACAACATGTTCAAGGAGTGTGAAACAAAGCTTTGTCATTTTTGCCTCCAAGGAGCACCCTGGTTGTCCTTTCTCCAAGACCTATCTATTTGTTCTTTTGGCAGTCCATAAGATATTCAGTACTCTTCTCCAACACTATAGCTCAAAGGCACCAATTCCTCTGCCATCCTTTGTTATTGTCCAACCCTCAAAGGCCCGGCAAGTGATGGAAAAGACCATGGTCTGAATCAAATGCACTTACGCTTCAATCTGCCATCATTACTTCTCAGTAATTTGGAGAAGTCCCTGACAGCAGATTTGTGAAAGCGATATGTCTCCTGATCTCCTGACTGCTGGTACCAAAGCTGTTGATTATCAGAGTTAACTCGTGGTTGCTGTGATGCTGAAGCCTGTGACAGTGATGTGCCAATCGTGGTAATGGGCACCCATGGTGGACAGTGTTGGCTGGAGCTTCCCGACTAAATCAAGCCTGGAAGCAGGAGCGGCATCCACTTCCAAAATGGCTTGCCTCTGGAAACTCTATGTACGAACAGTTCCCAGGCTGTTCGTTCATAGGGTCGCTATGAGTCACCTACGACTTGACGGCATTAAACAACAACAACAACAACATCCATGTATCACAATGTTGTCTACCTGTCCAGTCATATGAATTCTTGTTTCCTTGATGTAGGACTTGACTAATTGCTGGGAACTAGTGCCAAGGAGCACTGGAGGCCTATTGGCAATAAGTTGCACTGCAATCCTGAAGACACGTGATTCTACTACCCCCAGGTGCTCCAGCTGGGCAATCAGAAGGATAGGCAATCTCTTCCCAGTCAATTAAATGTCTCTGAAAACTGCCCTAAAGGTCAGTTATGGGTCAGTTCCAACTCCACAATATACAATGACAAGTGCCAGATCAAAGACTATGCCCGTTTTGGATTTCATCTCAACATCAAGAAAACCAAAATTCTTACCACTGGATCAACAGGCAGCATCATGATAGGTGATGAAACAATTGAATTTGTCAATGATCTCATCCTGCTATAATCCACAATCAACAGCCTTAGTACTGGCAGTCAAGAAATCTAAACCATGTGTTGCATTGGGAAACTATCCTGTCAAGCAACACTATAAAGTACTTAAGAGCAAAGATATCAGTTTAAAGACTAAGGTGTGTTTGATAAGCTGTGATCTTTTAGTTGCTTTCTGTGCATGTAGACATAGAACAATAAATAAGAAAGACTGAAGAAAAAAATATACATCTTTAAATTGTTTGTTGGCAAAGGATATTAAATATATCATGGACTAACAAATGCATAAACAAATCTGTTCTAGAGGAAGTGAGGCCAAAGTGCTTCTTAGAAGAAAAGATCTGTTTTCCAGTGACAACTGCTTGTTGTTTTGTTGTTGTTGTGTACTATAAAGTCATTATCAACCCAGAGGTTGTAAATCTCATGCGAAGAGAGTGCTCATCTGGCTGGATCAGAACCACGTGGCATCTAATTGGCTACACAGTTCCTTACCACTAGGGCACCAGAGCTCCCTTGTAATAACTAGCTGAGGTGATTTGATTATATGACACTTTACACAAACTCAGTGAGGTACATATTTAAAGTTCATTTAGATCATATGAAATTATGAAAAAATAGACTCCACGAATGGACTTTTAATAATTTCCTCATATTGACAAATAGACTCCACAAATGAATTTTAATAATAAGAGCTCTCTAACCATTTTTCCTGCAAGAGATAAACAGGAACAGAAAAGCACTGTCAACATACAGTTGTATGTGGAACCTCAAGGGTCCTCATGAACTGCCATGTGGACATGCACTCCCACTAGGTCAAGGCGGTGGCCGCTGCATACCTCAGATGTGTTATTTGTTAAAAACCCAAGTAAATAATCAATTGTGGCAACAAGTTTAAATTGGATCTTAAATATTTAAAAGCGAGGACATCAAATGAAATTTTTCAAATTACCAAAGGGTTGTAATCAATGTGGAGGGACATAGAAAATATCTTTTCCTCAGAGGTATTGACTTGAAAATCCTAGAACAATAAGCATCTTACAGTGTGGTTAGTTTTCCCTGTTCCTATTTGGAAAGGTTTACTCACAGTCTCTCAGTCCAGCGGTAGGCCTTCCAAACCTTCTTATCAATGTAAGAAATATCATTGCCTTGGAAGTTTCTGTGAAGAAACATGGTTCATATTTTTTTTAATATGCAGGATTAAGAATTAACCAAGTAAGTATAAAGAATCATGAGATGTTTATGGAGAATTTTCAAATGCAAAAAGTATCAGATTCCTAATTTCAGCATCTGTGAGCTGCCAAATAGTCCCAGTTAATGAAGACAGTCTGTGAGGGGCAGTGACACAAATGATGAGGTCATCCCCTCAGGACTTGAACTTCCTGTCTGTCCGATTCCTACTCTTATATCACTTTCAGCAAATATGAACAGAGAAAACAGATGCGAGGCAACAGCACAGTTTTAGACAAAGGTATCTACTGAAATCTTTCCAGGTGTAGAAGGGCAATCAGAAATTCAAGGTACTAATGAACCAGGCTGGAAAGGTATCACAAATTACTTAATGAAAAAATGCAAATATTTGAACAAAAAGATAAGTCACTTCATTAAAAAGAAAATACAGATCTGCATGTATATAAATTAAAGAGGGAGAGACTAGAAGGAGGATATATAGATTGCAGTGGTAACAGGAGTTACATGACCAGTGAGAAAAAGGAGGGTGAAAAGGGAAGGGTGGGACAAACTTTCCCATTTCATCCCAAATACTTCTGCAGGGCTTTTCTTAAAAGTCATACACTGTGGAGATGGATCCTCAAATGTCATGTGTTTCCAATATAATGTTACACCTTTGGAGTTCAGTGCCAGTCCCTAACTCTGAATAAGATTTTAATTATTTGACTGACACAATGGGCTCTATTATGTCAGGAAGTGTGAGGATGACACAGGATAGGACAGGATTCAGATCTGTCATTCATAGGATTACTATAGGTCATATTTAACCTGATAGCACATAACAACCTTTAACTCTGTCCCTTCCCTCAGCAACATCTTACCTATTCTGTTTATACCATCAAATAGCTGAAATTTGAAATGAAGTTAAAACACTCACTTTGCCTGCCCACACACCTAGCTGATATTTCTGCTCAATCACGTCTTCCAGTTGCAAGATGTCTAAATCTCATCCTTCCTCCTCAAACAGCTCTCCTTCCTGACCGTTGAGTTTCCGTCTGTGTGTTCTACCACCATCATTCTCCTGATCATCCAGGACACAGACTCTGGGGTCATGACTGGGTTTTCCTCATTCCTGCACACTCCTTCCCCAACTCTCTAGTCCGCCACCACATCCTGTCCTTTCTGTGCAGCGCTCCCAGGATTCCTCTGCTATTCCCATCCCAACTACTCTGCTTCAGCCCCTTTTCACTGTCATCCTCCTAGTTTTGCTAGAACTTTCTATTTGGTCTCCTCACATCAAGCTTTCCTCTTAGATGGCTTTACACATAGATTCTAAAAGAACACTCCTGTTTAAATCAGCTCTTGCTTGCTTGAAAATGTTCAATGTCTCTTCATATCTCATGATGTAACTTGGAAATCTCTCTTGCTGGAATTTAAGGTCTTTTTTTTTAAAAAAAGGGTTTTATTTATTTTATTAGTATTCGTGTGTGTGCGTGTACCATCAAATCAGATCTGACTGGTACAGGAGGAGATTGCCCCTCCTTCGTTGGCAGAGCATCCGGTAGATTCAAACTGTGCACCTCTGGGATTGCAGTGCAGCTTCTTGCCACTAGACTACCAGAGCTCACCTGAATTTAAGGTCTTTTACAACTTACTTTCTTTGTTCCCTAATGCAATTCCTGGAAGCCAGACTCATCTACTAAATCTTATTATTCCTACAGCCATGCCTTTGCCCAGGTGCTACTGTCCAGTCTTTATTTTAATTTAGCAACTTTGGGGGGACCTCTGGTGTCTTACTGCTAAGAATTGCTCTGCCAACCTAAGTGAATGTGGCTGGAATCCACCGGCAGGTGTGAGGGAGAAAGATGGGCAAACTGCTCCTGTGCCATTTGCTGCCTCTGAAAACCTAAAGAGTCAGCTATGAGTTGGTCTTGAATGTGTTGTTGTTGTTGTTATGTGCCGTCGAGTCGCTTGTGACTCATAGCGACCCTATGTACAACAGCCCTAAACTCTGCTCTGTCCTGTGCCAATCGCACTGTCTCTGACACTCCCATCCCGATTATCCCAGTCACTGAATCAATCCACCTCATAAAGGGCCTTCCCCTCCTGCGCCGTGTCCTTCTCCAAGGACCGGTCTCTCCTCACAACATATCCAAACTATGTTAGACGGAGCCTCAGAATCCTTGCCTCCAAGGAGCCACCCGTTTAACCCTTTCCAGGATGAATCTGTTTTCCTAGCAGTCCATGGTATTCTCAATACTCTTCTCCAGCACCACAGCTCAAAGGCATCAATTCTCCTTCTATCCTCCTTGGTCATTGTCCAACTCTCTGATGCATAACAAGTGATTGTGAAGACCATGGCCTGTATCAAACGCACCTTAGTCTCCAGAGAGACACCATTGCTCTTCAGTACTTTGGAGAGGTCCCTAACAGCAGACTTTCCCATGGCAATGCGCCTTTTGAATGTAGGGTACATAAAAAGATAACAACAACAACTCACTCTTGTAGAGAGCACTGATGGGCAAGTCCTTAACGAGCTGCATAGCTAATCCAAAGCCACACCTGTGAGATAGTTCAAATCTACCAGCAGCTCTGAGGGAGAAAGATGGGCAATCTCTTCCTGTGCAGTTTACCAGCGCAGAAGTTGCATGGAAGGTCAGCTATGGATCGGTTCCAACCTCAAGGCAATGAGTGAGAGACTCACCCTTTAGACTAAAATTTTATTTTTTTTTCTAGGTATCTTCCTCTGGTTTATGCCAGCTAGCCATAAGATTCTAGTGAACTACAATACACATACTCTGCACCTCTTTTAGAACATGATTATATATCACTTCCTTTTTCATGAATATTCCTTATTTTCCATCAGTGTTATGTTCCCAAGGTAATGCCTTACATGTTTGTAACTCCTACAGTGCCTAGCCCTGTTTGGCACATCTAACAGGTGCCATTCATAGAAAGCCACAGATAAAGATCTAACAAGATATAAAGGGCCTGGACATAATGAAAGATAAAATAATAATAGTTACCATTGACATATATGCCTTACGAACTTGTTTAAATCACCCAACAATCTATGTCATGGTGATAAAATGTGGAAAGTGTAGAAATGTGGAAATTGAATCACAGAGCTGAGTTCAAATCTAAGCAGTTTGACTCTAGAATCTCTCCTCTTAACCACTTTGTTTTATCATCTTCAGTGAGATGAGAAAGGACCATAATCCCGTAAAGATGATAGAATAAAATTGGCAATGGAGAAGTTAAGGCATGAAATTAAGATGCTTCAGGAAAATGAGCATGAACCACAGCCTCCATCAGCCTGAAACCAGAATAGGCAGATGGTGCCCAGCGACCACTTCTGACTGCTGTGACTGAGATCACAGTACAGGATCGTGAACTGAGCAGGAGAAAAATGTAGAACAAAATTATAAAAACGTTTGTAAGAAGACCAGCTTCTTCAGTCTGATAGAAATGATGGTCATTCTCAAGAATGGCCCTTAGACACTCTTCAAACCTGAGGCTGAAGTAATTTCAAACAACATACAGGCCTATAAAGTGAAAACACCATGAGGAATGTACTTCTCAGCACAATTAACCATGCAAGACCAAAAAGGCATCATTTATACTACAATGCAATTCAGAAGGCAGGAAGGGGCAGGAAAGATGGGCAAATGGGAATAGGGAAGCCAGGGAGAAAGTGTGAAGAGTATTGTTACACGGAAAGGACTGCAGCTGTTTGTTACAAAACTAAATAGGGATTGACTATTGAATGGGAAACGAATTTGTTCTGTAAACTTTATCTGAAACCACGGGGGGGGGGGCAGTAATAATAAGGGCAATACAAGCAAGAGACTAGAGAACTGGAGACAATAGTAAAGAGAAGAATAAGGATAAAGAAATATTGACAAATATAAGGTAAAAACAGAAGTTGTTCAATGTGGGTTGAAAAATGAGGAAGCCAGGAAGACCCCATGGAAAAGGGCCATTATGTCAGTAGAGAGTGGAGAACCAACAAGGAAAGGAATACTTACAAGACAGTGAAGGTGCCGTTGTACGTGTTGGGCTCTGGCACAGGCACTCTGCGGAGCTTCTTCTCTTTTGGAAGGCCAGTACAGGACAATGTGGCATTTTGGCAGACACAGAGCTCACATATGTCAGCATTACTTCTGTTCTTGGCACTCTGTGTTGGTGGCCCACTTGGAGACATGTGCTCCTTCTCTGGGATGAAATTTAAAGAATGCTGAGTCACTGGTGAAGCAAGAGCTTCCTCTGTTGATGCTGGGTGCTCAGTGATGGTAACTTCAGGACTCACAATTTTAACAGTCACTTGCTTGAGAGGAGATGCAGTCTCCTCTGGGGTTGCAGAAGTCTCAGTCTGTAAAGCTGTCATGTTGGTAAACTCTACATAAGAAGACTTAAGTGTGTTTTCCTTTGGAGGAAATGTGATTTTCTGCAGAGCAATGGAATGTTCAATCTTTGAGGTATATTGAGGAGCTGTAGTAAGTGGCAGGTCTGTAGGTCTAACATCAGTTACATTTGAATTCTGAGTTTGGTCCTGACTTGTAGAATGAACTGTCACCTCATTATTCACTGGTGACTGAGTTACAGCCTTCTCAGGTGGTTCTGTAGATGGAGTTTGTGGCTCTTGCTGAGTCTGAGAAGACTCAACAACCTCTGTTTTGGATCCCTGTGATAATTTAACTTTCAAGGTCTGAGGCTGAATGGTGATGTTGGACGGAACTGAAAGTTGAAGTTTATCTTGACTTGGAGTTGGAACTGAGGCTGGCTGTTGGGTTGTTAAAGATTCCACTACGATGGGGGGCTCTGAAGGCTGTACTACCTTATTAGGGGTCTTACTCAATTGCTGAGAAGTTCCTTGCTGGACTGGTAAAGTTTCAGTCTCCTGAAGTGAAGGCTCAGGAATCCGAGTTGGGACATGTTGAATTGGTGCAGAAGGCTTCACTTCCGTAGGGAGTTCTGGAAATGGGGCAAAAGCTATCTGCTGGACTGGAGGTGGTTCTACATGCTCAAAGAGCTCTTGATGTAGTTGCTTCTCTTGAACAAGAGAAGGCGTTATTACCATAGGAGTCTTTAGAAGTACATTTGGGACCTCTGGCTGCACTGAATATTGAGTATACAGAGGGTATTCCTGCAGTGGAGGAGGTTCAACCTCCGTAAGAGGCTCTAGAGGCTGAAATTGCACCTCTGGTTGGGCTGGATTAGCTTCTTTCTCTGTGGGAGGTTCTGGAGGCTGGGATGGGATCCCTTGCTCAGGTGGAGAAGAAGTCTCCACAGGGGCGGCCACAGGGGCTTCCACAGGAGCCTCCACAGGCCAAATTGGGTTCTCCTGCTGTGGCAGAGAAGGTTCAATCCCCTGGGGGGACTGTGGATTCTGCAATGGGAACTCCTGCTGAGCTACACTTTCTATCTCTCCAACAGGTTCAAATGACTGACTGGTGAGCCACTGCTGAGCTGGAGAAGGTTCAGCTTCTGGAGGAAGTTGCAATGGAACCCCTTGCTGAGTTTGGTAAGGTTCTACCTGCACAGAGGGCAGAAGAGACTGAACTGGGACCTCTTGCTGGGTTAGAGATGGTTCCGTTTCCTTGGGGGGCTGTGGAATACCAGATAAGACTTCCTGGTAAGTTGAAGGTTCTACCTGGCCCAGGTTGTCAGGAGGCAGAATTAGGACTCCTTGTTGACCTGGAGAAAGTTCAACCTTCTTAGCGGGTCCTGGAGGTGGAGATGAGGTCACTAATTTGGTTGTAGAAGATTCAACTTCATTCATGGGTTGTGAAGTTATTGTAATCACTAGTTCCAGAGGTTTAACTGTGGAAGTGAGAAGCACTGGGTGCTTAACTTCAGTTTGACCTGCAGGTGAACTTGAGGCCTCCTGCAAAGATGCAGGTGCTTCAACTTCCTCAGTGGATGTTGGAGGTTCTGTTGAGTTCTGGAGTAGAGAATGTTCGTTCTTTGAATCTGAAGACTGAGCTAGGGCCTCATGCATGACTGTAGGTTGCTTCCTGTCCTCCATGGACTCTGGAGGCTCTGGGGTGTACTCTTGTTGATCTGCTATAGGTTTAACTTCAATACCAAGAGGCTCTTGAAGCTGAGTAGCGTTCTGCTGGGTTGGAGGAACTAGGGCCTCGTGCTCAGCTGGAGAAGGTTTAACCTTTTGGGGAGGCTTGGCTGGCAGGGCTGGGGTTTCCTGTTGGAAACCTTCAGAGTGCTCTAGGGGGGAACCTGGAACCTCCTGCTGGGTGTGAGAAGGCTCAAGTATTTCAGGAGGCTTTGGAGATTCTTCCAGATCTGGAACAGGTTCCGTTTCTTTGGAGGGCTTCGGGAATTGTGGTGGAGCCTCTTCTTGAACCACGTAAGATTCAACTTCCTTATGGTGCTCTTGAAGGGGAGCAAGGGCCCCCTGCTTAACTGTAGGTTTAACTACCTTGGGAGACTCTGGTAACTGTGCTGGGGCCACTGACTCCTGAATTAAGGTAAACTCCACAGATGCTTGGTTGATTCTGACATTGTTAAATGCGGAATGAATAATTGGATTCTGCCGTGGAGTTTGCGTTGTGGATGCCCTCAATGGATGGAGACATTGCGCCTGGTCTGGGCAAAGTTTATTCTCCTGAGATGCCTCTGGAAGGTGAGATAGAGCCTCTTATTGGCTTGCAAATGGGTACATCTCCCTGGGGCTCTCATTCTCGGGTCTCTTACTGTCGGGTCGCTCACTCTCGGGACTCTCACTATCAGGTCGCTCACTTTCGGGACTCTCACCCACTCTCGGGGCGCTCACTCTCGGGTCACTCACTCTCGGGACTCTCACTCTCGGGACTCGCACTCACTCTCGGGGCGCTCACTCTCGGGGTACTCACTCTTGGGGAGCTCACTCTTCCAGCGCCCATTTTTCTTTCTCTTAATCTTGCCTCTTGCAGTCTTCGGGCGTTCTGGAGGCTGACCTGAGGGCTCCTGATGCATCGGATACAGCCTGATGGGAAGAGAGTGAGCCGCCTCCTCTGGAGGTTCAATATTTTCCTCAGGAGGCACTGGAGCCTCGTCTGTGGCCTCTAGCAGGTCCAAAGGCGCCTGCAGCATTTCATTTATTTGATCCTGTGGATCATAATTCTCAGGTTTTCCAATTGTCCCTGAGAGTTGCCGCTGAACTAGATTCAGTGGTGGGGCAATAAAGTCACCTGGTGTGGAACTTTGACTAGCGAGAGATAAAGGGATTCCCAATGACTGGGAGCCCTCAGCCCGAATCATCTTGGGTATGCCCACCTTTCTTGTCCGTCGAACAGGCCCTGGCACCAATTGTGTTGCCGGAATTCCAGAGACTCTCTGAGACCGGGCTAACTTCTGGACTCGTGCCAGGAACCCGGGGTTGTCAAAGGCCCCCGGCTCGGGCAGGGGCATCAGCCTTTGAGGCGAATGAAGAGCATCCACACTTTGCGCAGGGTCAGGAGGATGATGAGGGTCGGGAGGTTGTTCAGGGTCACCAGGTTGAACAGGGTCAGGAGGGTCACCAGGTTGTTCAGGGTCACCAGGTTGAGCAGGGTCAGGCGGTAGATCAGCAGAGCGCAGAGACATGGGTGCGTTCGCTTCCGGGGCACCAGGGGTCATGAGGTCCGGGTCGAACGCCAAGTCTTGAGGCGGTGCTGCCGGGAGGAGTAGCCATGAAGGCTGTGGGGTGAGGATCAGGAGGACACAAAGGGGCAGCGGGGACATGGAAGCGAAGGAGCAAAGCGAAGGTACAGAGGGTGAACACAGGTAGAAAGGGATGAAGGTACAAAGGGCTAACAGGCTGTGGTGCAGATTGTAGGTTCGGCGGAAGGGAATGAGGTGTGAGGGCAGCCGCGTGAGGTCTGGGTGCCCACCTCGGCAGCGGGGACCCCGCGCGCTGCGCCCCCCTTTTATGCAGGAGGTCGCCTTTGTGAGTCAGTAACTTTATGTCGCTCTGAGTGTGACTTTCCGGGAGGGCGGCGGGCTGGTTTTGGTCTGCTCCTGACTCACCAGGATGAACGTGACAGGGTGTCCATTCCCCGGCGAGGGGCCAGGACGTCACGCCCCCGCTCCACCCCACGGTCAGGGCCCTCCCCTCCCGCAGCCCTCAGAGCTTCGCCCGCTGGCAGCACAGGCAGGACCGCTGGGCCCTTTCTGGGAGCCAGAAGCTTCCTCCTCCTAAATTCCCCTCGGCCATGCTCCTTCCAACAAAAGTAACTGAATCACGAGAGCTATTTAGTGCGGCCAATGGGGCATAAACACGTTAAAAGTTATTTTACTCCAGAAGTGTTCTAAACTCACATACCCTCGTTGTTGATACTAGTTTATTAACTCATTTCTCTATTGGGCGAGGCACCACTAGTCGGGGAGACACAAGACTTTCTGCAGAAGGGGCTCTGGGAACTGGCAGTTTGGATTGAGAGAGGGTTTGAATGCAGCAGTTCACACTGGCGGCAGAACCCTGCCCCATCCCACCCTGACTCAACAGCCATTAATCTAGAAAAGCAGCTGCTCTGCTTTTCAGCGATCCGCTTCTGTGTACCTGGAATAGTAGCTGGCTTTTCAAAGAATTGTTTCTTGAAATGCCATAACAACCAACAGCTGTTTGTAACTACAGCCTTTTTTTCTAAATGCTGTTATTTTCTCGCACAACCTCTAGCTTGTGAGTTCTACTCTAGAGCAGGGCTTCACTAGGGCCCTAGTATACAGTTCTCTAGGGTCACCATGAGTCCAAATCCATGGCAGTGTGGAACACGTGGCTTAGCTACATGCTGTAGAAACACAGTCATGGTTTTAGAATGGAGTTGATCCTGAGGATGCTTCCACCACGACTGGCCTTTCCTTTAATCATCCTGTTGAAATCTGTAGCCCAGTGTTGACTTTTTTGCACAAAGAACATGCCAGGCATTATTGAAGATTCAGTCCTAACTATGAGAAGCCAAACTTTATACCAAATATTATATGAAAACCCTTGTTCAGGAATTGAAGGAATTACAGATTTATAAGTTAGGATTTCTCTTGTGACAGATCCTAGAAAATGAGCTGTTTGTTCCCTGCAAGACAGGAGACAGCAAGGGGCCCCCTACAGACAGAGTGTTACTTCCTGAGCTAGAGTTCACCCTGAGACATCAAGGTTAATAGTTAAGGGTAAACCAAATTCTTGCATTTGTGAACCCCTCTTTCCTGAGTCAAGCAGAAGGTTTTCAATAGAAAGAGCTTGGCTTCATTTGCATTGAATTCTCTTTGTGATTTACTTCCTGATAATTTTCAATAAAGACACAGAGTAGCTTGGCTTGGGGTCTTCAGTCAAGAACTGTGGGCCCCCTGTTTTATGCTCTCTGCTCTATCTCATTCCTGGCTGTTTGTCTCTTTATTAATAATTATAAGATTATTCTATTCTTTGGGACCCTCAGTCTGCAACAAGAGGATACTTTTAGAGATGTGAAGATAGAATCATGGAGCTGAGTTCAACTCTAAGTAGTTTGGTTCTAGAATGTCTCCTCTTAACCCCTTTTGTATCATCTTCAGTGAGATGGAAAAAGAACAGGATAGTGTAAAGAAGAGAGAACAAAAGTGAGAGGTAAGGGCATGAAATGAAGACACTTAAGAAAAATGGGGCATCATTTTCCATTTCCATCAGCCTGAAACCAGAATAAGCAGATGGTTCCCAGGTACCACCTCTGACTGCTGTGATTAAGATCACAATACAGGGTTGTTAACTGAGCAGAAGAAAAATGTAGAACAAGGTTGTAAAGAATTTTGTAAAAAGACTAG